GGGGAGGAGGAACTAAGGGGCCTTAAGTACAGAACAGACCAAATTTAAGTCTCACAACTACTCAATGACACTTTGGGGACAGGCAGGTCTTTGTTCTGTGGCTGCTCCACTACAAGTGAAATACTGGTGTCTGTGTCACAGAATGTGGACTGAATGCTTTTCTGTGGCCATTCTTTCCTGGCAAGGTGAGGCCATAATTCTTTATTGTAGTGACTTTCAAAATAAGCATATGAGAGTCCCAACAGGGACCACATTGGGGGACAGGTCCAAAAGCACACCAGGAAGAGGAACAGCCTAGAGGGTGAGGGTATATATCTTGACTGTTTAGTATCTTTCTGTGTAAGCTTTCCATGGCATAAAAGGCTCTACATTTAAGAAGGGTGTGAAAACTATGGCCTTATTCAGACTTTCTGTGGGTCATAACTAAGAAGGCAAAAAGAACTGTGTATCACATAGCAGCAAAGTCTCCCCCATCTCTCTACCTAAGGATGCTGACTTTGGGGTGCCCTGTATGTACCCCACCAACCCTTTACCTTTATTGTCAGCAGCAATAAATCCAAGGATGTTTTCATGACGCAGCATAACTGTCTGGTATATTTCTGCTTCCCGGAACCATGACCGTTCTTCACGAGAAGAGAAGATTTTCACAGCCACGTCGCCACCCCTCCAGCGGCCACGCCACACTTCCCCAAATCTGCCCTTGCCAATAATCTCTTGTAAAACGATGGTTCGGGCCACTGTGCGCTGGACAAAAAGGGGTAACCCTATGGACGAAAGAATGGAAAGAAATCTGACACTGCATATTTGCTACTCACCGCATGTTGCTACAAAGACCCTCAACAGCATCTCTCCACTGGTCCATCAGCCACAAAGTGCTACAGCAAGCCCTGCACCATGCCTAGGCAGTTTACCAACAGGCTGAGCCAGGCTGTAAGTGGGAGCATGTGAGCAGCTGCTCCTTAGCAAAGAACTTCTCCTTTGGTTAGCATGGATAATAAACTTACATGTGCATGTTTGACCAGATTTACCAACTCTGCAGCTGGCCACCTGTGAACCAACTCACATCTGCTTTATTTTGATGGAAACCGGAAGAGGGCAGAAAAAAGTGAAAGCAGGTCTCATGAGCTGGGAGCTGCCTCCTAGCCACTCTGCTCATTAGCCACTAGAGGGCGATCCTGTGTGGCCAGCAAAGTGGCTTGGTGGTCAGCACACATATGAAAGCCAGCTCTCACCAGAGATCAGAAGCTCAGCTCACAGGAAGATCTAAGTGTAGAGTAGGGGAAACCCATACTAATTCTACAATCAATTTACTGTCTTGTAGGGCTCATCATTACTTCATTTGACTCATCCAGTCACCCTCACCATTATGATGGACTCTTAACCCCCAACTCCCTCCCTGAACCAAATAACAGTTATTAGTAATCCCTGGGTTTGGTGGATTTACTGTGTTTACTATGCATGAGGTTCTATGCTAAGAGCTTTACATAAATTACTTCATTTCTTCACATGCAGATGTGAGGTGGGTATTGTTATTATTCCCATTTTATAGACAAAACTAAGGGGGCTCAAAGGTTATATAACTCACTCAAATTCATACGAGTAAGTGGCAAGGCAGGAATTAAAATGCAGGACTGACTCCACAGTTAATGCTTTAAAAAAATCATCTTTGCAATGTTTTTATATTTTATTTATTATTTTTGTTATGGGTATGAATATATTGCCTGCATGTATGCAAGTGCACCCACACCATGCAATGCCTACAGAGGTCAGAAGAGGGCATCCAATTCCCTGGAACTGGAGTTACAGATGGTTGTTAGCCGCCATGTGGGTGCTGGGAACTGATCCTGTGTTCTCTGCAAGAGCAGCCAGCACTTTTAATGGCTGAGCCATCTCCCCAGCTCCCACATTTCATGCTTTTAACTACACTATATAGACTTGCCAGTGTTTCTCCAATCAGACCCCTTGCCTCCTTCCTCTCCTTCCCATACCCTGTCCTATTACCCTTTTTCTTAAAGACGCTCACTGGTCTTTCCACCTCATCTCCATACACTCTTGCCCATGCACCCACATATAGCCCTGTGTCACCCCACCCTTTCCAACAGAGGACCAGCAAAGAACAAATCCATCCTCTACACCACTGTCAGAATTCCTTCCAGAGGAGAAAAGATCATTTACTTTCTTATGTCAAAACTTTCAGTAGATGTGTCTTACCTGTAAGACAAAGCACAGCACCCAAGGCTCTTTACAGGTGGCCAGCCTGTCTCTGCCCACCCCAGAAATGGGCATACCACACCAGACTGCTTATCATGAGTCTTTAAACATACCATGAACCTTCATGGCTTTTTGTCCTTTCCATTCAAGGTGTTTTCTCTGGCCTGGAATGTTCCCTGCACTCTTACCTCACTTGAAATCCCAACCTGTTCTTCAAGTCGCCCTCAAATTTATGTGTCCTGTAAGCTTCTCCCAACAATCCTCACATCATCGTATCATTGATTCAATCCTAGGCCAGCCTCTTCGCAAACTCTGCCCCCATTTAGTGTCCTTTGTTCAAAAGAACTAGAGGTCACATAAGCAGCATGGACTTATTACTTTAAAAACAGCATTATAAATGCCGGGTGTGGTGGTGCACACCTTTAATGTTAGCACTCGGGAGGCAGAGGCAGAGGCAGAGGCAGGCAGATAGATCTCTGTGAGTTTGAAGCCAACCTGGACTACATAGTGAGTTCTAGGTTAGCTGGGGCTACAGGGAGACTAGACTGTCTCAAAAAGACAAAAAAAAAGCCAGATGTGGTGGCAGACACCTTTAATCTTTAATCCCAGTACTCGGGAGGCAGTGGCAGGCAGATCTATGTGAGTTCCAGGCCAGCTGGACCTACAGGGGGACCCAGTCTCAAAAAACAAAACAACAACAACAAAAAAAAAACCCAAAACCCTAAAAACAAAGAACCCCCCCCCCCAAATTTCATTATTAGCTGGGTATAGTGGTGCACACCTTTAATGCCAGCACTCAGGAGGCAGAGGCAGGTGGATCTCTGTGAGTTCAAGGCCAGCTGGGGCTACAGGGAGACCCTGTCTCTAAAAGACCAAAAAACAAAACAACAACAACAAAACATTATTAAAAACCCAACACCTGGGTTGGAGAGAGCTCAGTAAGGACTCATCAGGTAGCTCACAACTGCCTCTAACTCTAGCTCCAGAGGATCCAATGCCTCTGGGCTCCACTGGCACCTGCTCTTGTGTACATATCCACACATAGGCAGGCACACATAGTTTTAAAAATAATAAAACAATTAAAAAACAAAACAAAAATCCCAACACCTTGGAAGCTCTGTATATCCTGTCCCAAGAATGGATTGAACCAGCCAGAGAAAAATAGTCATTAATGATTTTGGTGCAGAAAAGAGATGACCACCAAGCCTCTCTAGATGCTGGCCTGGACCTAAGAATTCCCAGGCACTAAAGCCTCATCCTCTCACAGCACATCAAGACACAGCCAAGAACTTCCAGCCACTGCCCTACCTCTAGTGGCAAAGCACATGCCAGATATTTTCTAGGTTTCTAAAAATATGCAGCTTTTAAATATATTCATGTTGGTGCTCTCTACTGCCGAGCTTAATAAAGGCAAAAACCACTGACATTCAGGAGATGTCATAGCTCACAGTATTCTCTGTGTTCAAGGAGGATGTCTGGCCAGGACTGATGGTACAACTTCCCTGCACAAGCAAAGTCTGTCCTGTGGCAGGGAAACACAAGAGTCACAAGTGAGACCTGTGTGTTCTGGCTAGGATGGCAATACTGATGGCTGTGAATGATTTCTTCTATTCTCCAGAGGAATGGTATAGCACTAAGACCATCATTTAGCTTCATTAAAAACAACAGAAACAAAGCCATCTTTTTATAGCCATGTGTATGTCTAACAGCTAGCTGAGTACTCTCTCTCTCTCTCTCTCTCTCTCTCTCTCTTTCTCTCCACTTGCTAGGTTGGCCTTGAACTTGAGGCAATCCTCCTGCCTCAATCCTCCTTCTGGGATTACAGATGATTATAGGCATGCACAACCACACCCGGCATTTTGTTGTTGTTAGCCGAGCTATTTCCTGAGCTCTACATGACTTCAGTTCCCTCCATCCTCAATTCTGGTCTTATGCCAAGGCCCATGGTTGAGTTCAATATCCTCATCTAAGAAAGACTTGGACAACAGGCACTACAGGAAACTGAGCCCAAGCTATGCTGGAAGCCCAAACTGCCTTTACGATAACCCTCACCAAAAAGCCCTTGGGCAGTGGTACAAGTCAATGATTCACCAAATCCCTACTCTAAGCTTTACTCAATGTCCTTAAACTCCCCTTGTGGTTGCTCAGAGATCAATGATTAGCTGTCAGGACCTCACAGGAATCCAGCACACTCTTGTTTCTCAAAAGGGGCCCTTAAACTGAGCATGCCACCGCTCAGGTGGAACCAGTTGAATTTTTACAGACACACAGCTACAAGAGTTAGAGAGAGGCAGGGTTTCTGCAATACAGGGTTTTGCATTTGACCTCTGGAATCTCAAGGAATGAAAGATTTTCTGTGAAGCCATTATCATATCGTATTACATGTCAGACTCCAAACGAAGAGAATTGTGAAACCAAATGACTCAATGCAGCAGGGCCTCGGGCCTTCCTCGTAAACTGTCTCCTGCTGGGAACCAGTTGTGAGGGCCAACAAACACAATGCCTGGAGAACATGGTACCTGAGCCAGACCCTGATGTTGAGAGATCATAGACTAGATCTTGGAGTGTCTTGTCTTTGGAAAGACACATCTCACACGAGGGGTCCTCCATGTCCAGTCTCTGGCGGTTGTGGTAGACGCGCTGGTGATAGTTGATGACGAGGAAAACGATGATGATGATGAGAAACAGGAGGAAGACCGGGCCAGCAATGATGCCCACCAGCTCCACAGGGCCCCACATGGAAGGGTGCTCTGGCTCCTTGAGGTGCCCTGGATAAACAAGAGAGGGGACAAAAAGAAACAGTAAAAAGAGGAGGATGCTGTGGCCCGATTTATCTCCAACACTGTACCATGTATAAAAGACCCTTTCACCTCTCATTGGAGTTTCTCTGGCCTCTGATCTTCCTGGGCTAGCCTGTGTGCCTAGATGCTCTCAAATGCCAGCCTCCTTTCACTGAAGCACCCCTCCAAGAGTCAAACCAAAAGTACTTTGGAAGCTCACAGCATGTCAGGACTGCAGCTTGGCCCACAGACAGATGCCAGTTTCTATCCCCTCCAGGCTCTGCTAGGTGGCAGACCTACCTGGGGAGGTGTCTAGCACTGCTGCACAGTGACTGCCACCCTTTCTAATTCTAGCCTAATTCTCATATTATTCATTCCATCCTCAGAGCAGACCCCTTTCCCATGACTCTGCTGCTGATGGCCACTACTCAAGTAGCTGGCACCTCTGGGACTAAATGGAACATCTGCCCTGCAAGTCTGACTGGGAGAACCCCCATCCCTTATCATTGATTTCAGGCAGCATCTGAAAGACACCCGTGACTATCATTGAGGCAAGGGGTTGAGGAAGAACAGTAAAGAGTGAGAAGGATGAAATGCCCTACCTCCAAGGTGAGACAATAGTCCAACAAGGATGTCCACTCACCGCTGGGCACCCTGAGGTCGATCTTATTGCAGAAGTCAGTATAGCAGCAGTGGGTATTACGCAGATCCTCTGAGCTCAGACAGTAGAAAGGCTTTCCAGCAGGAACCAGCTCCACCTTGGGGATGCAGGTACGCACGTGGTGCTCCATGCCGTCCAGATTGAAGATGGAAACCATGCAGGCCCCGTCCGTTTCACATGTATAGTTGGCCTGTAGGCAGCTGGTACATGCACACAGCAAAGCTGCAGGAAATTTAGGAGCAGACATCAATAGCAATGGTGAGAATTTCATCTGGGTCCTTTTCCAGACTTAGAATAATCCCTTAGTATACTTCACATTCTAAAACAAGGAGCTTTTATAGACATGAGGCCAGAAAAGTATCTTCAACTAGGCATCTCTGCACCTTATTCGGCTCACAAACAAGGCTTTGTGGCCTCTACCACGCCTCTAACTCCTCTGTTCCCTGCCTACGAAAGAGCAATGAACTACCTACTCCTTCCAGCTGCGAGGCCTGCTCATGGACTGCCCCTTCTCTTTGGAGAACAGAGGGCATTCCCTACATTCCATTCAAAACCACCCAGGATTCCTCCCAGCCAGCCTCATCCCAGTCCTTCGCTTGGCCACCAGGCACCTGGTTTCCAGAGCGTGGCACGTAATGCTCTTGCATTTTCTTTTACTGCAATACTTTTTCCTGCCTAATTTTTTACAAATCCTTCAAAGTTCTGTTCAATCACTCCCTCCTTTGAACAGCTTTTCACTCGATTGTCAACTCTTCCCTTCAGTCCTTGTTGGGTGGCCTCTCATGAGGGCCAATGAGAATGTCCTCCACAGAAAGTTGGAGCCTACCTTAGTGACTGTCAAGACAGAGTAAATGATAAAGCAAGAGTTGAAGAAATTTAACCCACCTTGAAAAGGCCCCTGGACAGCACCTTCAGATGCACACGCACCTGCACATGTACACAAGCACACACCCCCTCTTACTTTTTTCAAGCAGGCAGTATACACAATTCCCTCTGAGACTAATGAGTTTTACTGGGTATGTATCATACGTAAGTGTGCCACTGACAGGAAATCACTGTAAATTAATTTGGCGCCTATGAGAGCTGTTCAGCAGCCTGGAATCTGCAATCCTTTATTTATCTGACTAACAAGAATAGCACAGACAGCACAGTTGGTATCCCTCTACCCTGTCTCCCCTGAGCTGCCCTCACTCTGGCCTCCTGGGATGGTCAGGAATGTAACATTGGCTACTACAACACTGAAGCTGGAAGAGGCACTCACCTAGCAGGGGACAGAGGGGAGGGCGCAACTCCTAGCTGTCACACTGTGACCAGTGTCTGGGGACCCAGTGGGAAGATGCTCCAGAGGAAAGCAGCTTGTGGCCAATCCCACAGAAAGTCTAGGCTACAAAGAGTTTACTTTCACCCCTTCTTCCAATGCTCTTCAAGTCATCCCTTAGCTCTGCAAATCCAAAGATGGCCTACCCTGGGGTGTCTATAAAATAGAGACAATCCCTAGCTGCTCCACCCAAGGACACAAGGCGGGGAACAGGCAGGCAGGTAGTGTAGACCTTCCCTGCAGGGCCTCTTGTATTCTTTTTTTCAGTGTTTGATCAGATCCCTATCTTCTGAGACAAATTCCAAAACATGCAGGTGCCTGCTGAAGAGCTTGAGCTGTATTATTTCTTAAAGGTAGAACATCTAAAGTAGGTATTTATGAGACTAGGCTCCAAATAAAAAAAAATTTTTTTTTGGTCTTTTTGAGACACGGTCTCTCTGTAGCCCCAGCTGGCCTGAACTCGCTATGTAGACCAGGCTGGCCTTGAACTCACAGAGATCTGCCTGCTTTTGCCTTCCGAGTGCTGGGATTAAAGATTATAAAAGGAAGTTTCTTCGGAATTTCAATTCTAACTTCTGTAATCTCAAGACTCACTAAACTTCACAGTTTTCGTTCTAAACCCATGTTTGTAAATTTTTATTCTGACTGTTCTGGTTTTTTTGAGACAGAGTTTCACTAAGTAGTCCAGCTGGCCTTCAACTCTCTTCCTGTCTCCAGAGTGCTGGGATTACAGCTGAGGGCCACCATACCAAGCTGTCCTACTCTTCTTGAGAATTTAAAACTTACACAGGTCTCAGAAAACTTGGCAAGACCCTCTTTTCTTCCGCCAGGAATACTGTTAATCCAAGAAAGCTCCCTCCCTGCCCCCTTTGTCTCTCTTCCGGGTTCCCTGCAGGGAGCACACCTCTTTTCTTACTGGTGGTGTGACGTCCAGCAAAGGGAATGGCACTGGGACTATTTTGGGAAGCAAGAAAGGGAAAATTAACAACTTCCAAGAGATGACTATTCTGAGCACAGTGAGACACACAAGGCCAAACCCACAGTCGCCTTTTTAAAAAGAGCTCACTTCAGAGTCCATCAATTAGTGGGGCACAGCAGTCAGGAGTCTCTGATTCCAGATATTTATTCTTTTTTCGTTGGTGCTGGCCTTGTTCACAGTGATTCATTCTGGAGAATGAACACACCCACACGTAGCTCATTATTTTTGGGAAGTACTTAAACAATCTTGGTGTAAGACAGGAAAGAGCAAAGTGGTGAAATCTATGCTAGAAGGGAGAAGAGACTGAGGACAAGCTGGGGGCCGGGCCATGTGGGTTTGAGATAAGGAGCTGGGCAAGTCCCTGAGCCTATCTGGGCCTCAACTGTCCAACCAGCAAATACCATTTATCTTATGGAGATGAGAGGGGAATTAGCCCACCACCTGTTAAGTGCTGTGGCTACCTACCTTGAGCAAGACTCATTCCACCCGTATCTGTGCATCTTTGCCTTTTACAGGGTGAGTGACAAGTCCAAACAGAAACACTTTGAAGATAACCATCACTCTTGCCCACACCCTGCAAAGGTCTGAATTTACATCATTATGAGTGACAGTGGGTACCACAGAGCAACAAGTCAGAGAGACCTGAAGCTCAAATGCCAGTCCCAATACTGCCCACATAACCCGAAGCTCGCAATTAACCTATTGCATCACGAATTTCCCTTGGGCCCAAGCTGTAAAGTAGGATTGTTAGTAACTGGTTCACAAGATTAGATAAAAAGTATATGAAATGATATACTTTAAAAGTATTTAATAAATAGGATATACTCAATAAATATGAACCATGCTTTTAGTGTAAAAATTAAAATTGAAAAAAAGCATAAAAGGAAAGTGTTTCTTCTTAATCACTAATTAGGAAGTATTAAGTTTCAGCAAATTCTCAGGAAAAAGTGCTGTTCATGCCTTGATTCTGCCAGTAACTTGTTGCATGGCTTTGGGCAAGTCATCTAACCTTTCTGAACCTCATTTTCCTTATGATTAACCAGAAAAAAGGAACTGAACTTGCTGGCCTCTAAAGTCCTTTCCTGCTACAAGTTCAAATCTATTTCTGCTTCTCAGTTCACACGGTGTGCATCACTGATTAACGCAGAACAATGCTGCTCTGCTTCGGGTACCTCTCCTAAATGTCTTTAAAAAACAGATATGAGCTGAAGAGACGGCTCAGCAGCTAAGAGCACGGGCTGCTCTTGTAGAGGACCCATAGGTTCAACTGCTAGCAGCCACATGGCAGCTAACAACTGTCTGCAACTCCAGTTCCAGGGGAATCCAACATCCTCTTCTGACATCTTCAGGCACTGCACAACACAAGTGCACTTATACACATGCAGGCAATACATCTATACATATAAAATAAAAATAATAAACAAAGCCAGGTATGGTGGCACACGCCTTTAATCCCAGGACTTGGGAGGCAGAGGCAGACGAATCTCTGAGCCAGCCTGGTCTACATAGTGAGCTCCAGGCCAGCTGAGGCTACAGAGAGATCCTGTCTCAAAAAGACCAAAATAATAATAATAATATTTTTAAAAAGAGATATGTTGGCTACTCGTCTGCTGTTTTCACTGAAACAGGTGATAATTAAAAGCATATTCTGAACTTACCATAATCTTAGCACACTAAATTAAAAACTTCAATTCTTTCAGAAAAGCTAAATTTAGGCCAATGACAATGGCTTTGTAAGGGTTCACAGTGATTCCTCAGGTGAAAAGTCTACACCTCTCATTCCACATGATGTTATGGAGGAGGCACCAAATCACTCTCTGTGTGAACATGTTACAAAGTCAGGGGCTGGGGATGCTATTTAATGGTAGAGGCTTGTTAGTATGTGCAAGGCCCAGGGTTTGGTCTCCAGCACTACAAAAATAAAAACAAAACAAAAAGTGGTCAGAACAAAAGAACCCTCCCCCAGTGCAGACTTTTGTTATTAACCAGTCAAATTACTCAATCCTGAACTAAAGACAAAGCCACCTTGGCAGGATTTGAACATGGTTCAAAGTCTATCTGATTTAGAAGGCGGTTTGTGGTAGGATGTAAATGCAAATTCAACTCAAAAGAGAGGTTGTTTTGAGAAAGGCCAAGCCTCACATTGGGCAGACTCTGGCTCCTGTGTGTCAAGAAGGCACCTTACACAGCAGGGCCTTGGGAGGGAAGGGGCTGTGGAGCAGCTGCGAAGTCCCACCACCACACAGCTCAGACAGCCATCTGCCCAGTGTTCTACTCGGAGTTCATCACCAGAGGATGGGCTTTGAGGAGTGGCATGATGGTTCACAGCCTTAGAAGGTTAGAAGCACACTGCCAAGCAATCCATTCTGTCCAGGAATCAGCCATGAACAAACCTAAAACTGCTTTAAAGCTAGAGCAATTATGATTTTTAATTTATTCTCAGGGATAAAAAGTTCTGGAAACTGATGCTCACCATGGAGCACTGTCTTGTCCGGACACACTAAACTTGTCTCTTTCACATCTTGCTGGGCAGCCTTTCAGATCTAGAGGATGCAAGTGACCACATCACCTGTGCAGCCTCTACTTTCACTGTTTGTAAACTGATCACACACTGTCTCTCAGCCCTCAGCTTTCTAGGAGAGCTGCCACCAGACAGCTGCACAGACAGGACAGCAACAGCCTACCATGCATGATAAGACCTACTTTTTCTTCCCTGAACCTTACCCAAACTCCCCGGAAGTCTCTTTTTGGTTTTTGTTGCATTGCTGGGGATGGAACCAGGGCCTCCTGCATGCTATGTAAGAGTTTTACCACTGGGCTACACAAGTATGTTACTAGGGGTAACAAAGGGCACAGCTTGACTTCTGGACAGATAACTGCAGCTGTCTGGTGGCAGCTCTGTAACTGCAGTCTTCCATCACCGTGTTCCTAGAAGCCCATGATGCTGTTATTTTGTTACCATCACTCTCTCATGTGATCCCCACAGGATCTCAGAAGCAGGCATAACTGTCCCACTTTATGAGGAACAAAGCCCCAGAGTCTCTGAGGGGCTCACTAATGGTAAACTAGTGAACCATGGACCCCCACCTTCAGTCCCTAAAT